AGGAGGGTCCTTTTCTCACTAACCACCAATGTGAGTCCTTTTCCCACTATCCACAAATGTAAGAGGGTCTTTTTCCCACTAACCACCAATGAAAGAGGGTGCATTTCCCACTATTCAACAAAGTAAGAGGGCCCTTTTCCCACTAACCACTAATGTAAGAGGGACTTTTTTCCCATTGACCACTAATGTAGGAGGGACCTCTTTTCCCACTGACCACGAATGTAAGTTACTTTTTTTCCCATTGACCACTAATGTAAGAGGGACCTTTTCCCACTGACAGTCAATTTAAGAGGGTACTTTTCCCGATGACCACCAATGAAAGAGGGTTTTTTTCCCACTAACCACCAGTGTAAGAGGGTGCCTTTCCCACTGAAACTATACAACCAATTCTGGAAGAATCTAGCAGCATCTGGAGAGGCTGCATGAAACCAACACACACAACTGACAATAACTATCAATGCAAGCGGGTCCTTCTCTCACTGACTACCAATGTAAGAGGGTCGTTTTCCCACTGGCCACCAATGCAAGAGGGCACTTTTTCCACTGAACACCAAAGTAATAGTTTCCTTTTCCCATGGACCATCAATGTGAGAGGGTCCTTTTCCCACTGGCCACCAATAAAAGAGGGTCCTTTTTCCACTGACCAATAAAATACGTAGTTGGGGATTGTATGTCATAAAGCAACGGATGATAATGTAATTGTTTCCTTTTCCCATGGACCACCGATAAAAGAAGGTCCTTTTCCCAATGGCCACCAATGCAAGAGGGTACTTTTTCCACTGACCACCAATGTAAGTGTGTCCTTTCCCACTGACTACCAATGTAAGTGGGTCCTCTTCCCACTAACTACCAATGTAAGAGGGGTCCTTTTCCAACTAACCACTAATGTAAGAGGGTCCTTTTCCAATTAACCACCAATGTAAGGTCCTTTTCCAACTGAACACCAATGTAAGAGGGTTCTTTTCTCACTAACCACCAATGTGAGTCCTTTTCCCACTATCCACAAAAGTAAGAGGGCCCTTTTCCCACTAACCACTAATGTAAGAGGGACTTTTTTCCTATTGACCACTAATGTAGGAGGGACCTCTTTTCCCACTGACCACGAATGTAAGAGTTACTTTTTTTCCCATTGACCACTAATGTAAGAGGGACCTTTTCCCACTAACAGTCAATTTAAGAGGGTGCTTTTCCCGCTGACCACCAATGAAAGAGGGTCCTTTCCCACTGACCACCAATTCAAGAGGGTTTCATTCCCACTAACCACCAGTGTAAGAGGGTCCTTTTCCCACTGAAACTATACAACCAATTCTGGAAGAATCTGGCAGCATCTGGAGAGGCTGCATGAAACCAACACACACAACTGACAATAACTATCAATGCAAGCGGGTCCTTCTCTCACTGACTACCAATGTAAGAGGGTCGTTTTCCCACTGGCCACCAATGCAAAAGGGCACTTTTTCCACTGAACACCAAAGTAATAGTTTCCTTTTCCCATGGACCATCAATGTGAGAGGGTCCTTTTCCCACTGGCCACCAATAAAAGAGGGTCCTTTTTCCACTGACCAATAAAATACGTAGTTGGGGATTGTATGTCATAAAGCAACGGATGATAATGTAAAATTGTTTCCTTTTCACATGGACCACCGATAAAAGAAGGTCCTTTTCCCAATGGCCACCAATGCAAGAGGGTACTTTTTCCACTGACCACCAATGTAATAATTTCCTTTTTCCTCTGACCACCAATGTAATAGTTTCCTTTCCCCATGGACCACCAATGTAAGAAGGTCCTTTTCCCACTGGCCACCAATGTAATAATTTCCTTTTCCCTCTGACCACCAATGTAAAAGGCTCCTTCCTCTCTTTGACCAGCAATATAAGAAGGTTCTTGTCTCACTGACCACCAATAAAAGAGGGTCCTTTTCCCACTGACCAATAAAATACGTAGTTGGGGGATTGGATGTCATAAAGCAACGGATGATGATGTAAGTGTTTCGTTTCCTCATGGACTACAAATTTAAGAAGGTTCTTTTTCCACTGGCCACCAATGCAAGAGGGCACTTTTTCCACTGAACACCAAAGTAATAGTTTCAGTTTCCCATGGACCATCAATGTAAGAAGGTCCTTTTCCCACTGGCCACCAATGCAAGAAGGCACTTTTTCTACTGACCACCAAAGTAATAGTTTCCTTTTCCCTCTGACCACCAATATAAAAAGCTCCTCCCTCTCTTTGGCCAGCAATGTAAGAAGGTCCTTCTCTCACTGACCACCAATAAAAGAGGGTCCTTTTCCCACTGACCGATAAAATACGTAGTTGGGGATTGGACTTCATAAAGCAACGGATGATAATGTAATTGTTTCCTTTTCCCATGGACCATCAGTGTAAGAAGGTCCTTTTCTCACTGGCCACCAATGCAAGAGAGCACTTTTTGCACTGACCACCAGTGTAATAGTTTCCTTTTCCCATGGACTACCAATTTAAGAAGGTTCTTTTCCCACTGGCCACCAATACAAGAGGGCACTTTTTCCACTGACCACCAATGTAATAATTTCCTTTTCCCTCTGACCACCAATGCAAAAGGTTCCTCCCTCTCTTTGACCAGCAATATAAGAAGGTTCTTCTCTCACTGACCACCAATTTAAGAAGGTTCTTTTCCCACTGGCCACCAATGCAAGAGGGCACTTTTTCCACTGAACAACAAAGTAATAGTTTCATTTCCCAATGAACCATCAATGTAAGAAGGTCATTTTCCCACTGGCCACCAATGCAAGAGGGCACTTTTTCTACTGACCACCAATGTAATAGTTCCCTTTTCCTGACCACCAATATAAAAAGCTCCTCCCTCTCTTTGGCCAGCAATGTAAGAAGGTCCTTCTCTCACTGACCACCAATAAAAGAGGGTCCTTTTCCCACTGACCAATAAAATATGTAGTTGGGGATTGTACATCATAAAGCAACGGATGATAATGTAATTGTTTCCTTTTCCCATGGACCATCAGTGTAAAAAGGTCCTTTTCCTGCTGACCACCAATGCAAGAGGGAACTTTTTCTACTGACCACTAATAGTTTCCTTTTCCCTCTGACCACCAATGTAAAAGGCTCCTCCCTCTCTTTGACCAGCAATATAAGAAGATCCTTCTCACACTCACCACCAAAAAAAGAGGGTCCTTTTCCCACTGACCAATAAAATATGTAGTTGGGGATTGTACGTCATAAAGCAACGGATGATAATGTAATTGTTTCCTTTTCCCATGGAACATCAGTGTAAGAGGGAACTTTTTCTACTGACCACCAATGTAATAGTTTCCTTTCCCCATGGACCACCAATGTAAGAAGGTCCTTTTCCCACTGGCCACCAATGTAATAGTTTCCTTTTCCCTCTGACCACCAATGTAAAAGGCTCCTCCCTCTCTTTGGCCAGCAATGTAAGAAGGTCCTTCTCTCACTGACCACCAATAAAAGAGGGTCCTTTTCCCACTGACCAATAAAATACGTAGTTGGGGATTGGACGTCATAAAGCAACGGATGATAAGTTGACTGTTGACGATTAACAATGACCTTGAAGTGAACTCAGACAACAATGATTCCATTTCTGCTGATGACATGAAACTGTACAAGATACAATAACAAAGGAGGATGTGAAGCATCTCTGGAGGGATCCGGCATCACCAGTCAAGGCCGCGTGAAATCAACTGACGCAATTCATTTCTGCATGTCAAGTCCAGGATTTGCGTTCAGTTTATTGTTTATTTTAATGAAAGACGATGGGCAGGAATATAATATTCATCCAGGTCAGATAGTGCCCATCGTCTTTCAGCCGGGGTTCACACTGATGCGGTACGGAATTCGCAGCGGTTTCTGTGCGAATTCCGCACCGCATCACAATCGCACCCCGTTCATGCGAACTGCTGGGATGTGTATGTTAACGACGGTCCGCAAAACGCGGTGCGATGTGCAGAATCGGATCGCATGGGTGTGAACGCCTATGTGATCCGATTCTAGCGCGGACCAAAAAAAAGGTCCTACACCTTTTTGGTGCGGTGCGATTTGAGCCATACAAAATTTACGTCTCCAATCCCACCGCACAGAATTCGCATGCGATTTGCACAGGAATGCGGAATGTGAGAATCACGTGATATGCCGCACCGCACAAGTGTGAGCCCGGGCCCAGAGGCAGAAAAGGATTAGTAACCAGCACAACCCAAATTCTAGACACAAATGCGTGATAAATGCAAACTGTTACTAATTAAGGCTGAACTCCGGGCACAAAAACGGGCATCTGAATATATTCTTCATTAGCCACAAAGGACGTAAATCCACTTTATGATCACCAAATGGCTTTGCAAACCCAAATGTTACCTTGTAAAAGTAGCAGTAACATCACTACTGTGCTGGACACAGACTGTGCAGAAAGCAGAGCTGTGGGAGGGGCCCAGCAGCTCCTCCCACTACAGACTGCCTGCAGAAAACTAAAGGAGTGGGCGGAGACAAGACCAGTCACCCAGCACAAGCAGAGAGAGCAGCAGTGACTGGTCTTTATTAACCCCCTGCCTACCGGGCACTTATTCCCCCTTCCTGCCCAGGCCAATTTCCAGCCTTTAGGGCTGTCACACTTTGAATGACAATTGCGCGGTCATGCAACACTGTACCCATATGAAATTTTTATCATTTTTTAGTGACAGATAGAGCTTTATTTTGGTGGTATTTAATCACCTCGGGGTTTTTTTTATTTTTTCTTAAACAAACCAAAAACCACTGAAAATTTTGAAAAAAAAACATTTTTGTTGTCTTAGTTTTTGTTATAAAATTTTGTAAATAAGTGATTTTCTCCTTCACTGATGTGTGTTAATGAGGCTGCACTGATAGGCACTGATAGGCTGCACTGATGGACACTGATAGGTGGCACTAATGAGGAGGCACTGGTAGGTGGCACTGATGGGCATTGACAGGCATCACTGATGGGCACTGAAAGGCAGCACTCATATATGGCACTGATAGGCGGCACTGATAGGCGGCACTGACTGGCACTGTTAAATGGCACTGACTGGCACTATTAGGTGGCACTGATAGGCAGCACTGATGGGCACTGATAAGTGGCACTGATGCACACTGATAGGTGGCACTGACTGGCACTGATAGGCAGCACTGATAGGTGGCACTGACTTGCATTGATAGGTGGCACTGGCTGGCACTGATGGGTGACACTGAAAGGCAGCTCAGATGGGCACTGATATGTGGCATTGATGTGGCACTGAAATATGGCACTAATGTGGCACTGATGGGCACTGGCAGGTGGCATGATTGAGCACTGAGAGCTGGCACTGATGGACACTGACAGGTGACACTGCTGGGGCTACACAGCTCATCAGGGCACACTGATCCTCAGTGCTCTGATGATCATTGTACATTTCCCCTCCGAGGAATACCAATTACCGGCTCTTCTCTCCTCTCCTCTGTCAGCGTGACAGCTCGTGGGGAGAGAAATGCAGATAACCGTCATTTCCCTGTATACATGTGATCAGCTGTGATTGGACACAGCTGATCACATGACCGAGCTGACATCTTCGGCTCTTTCCGTTGATCAGTGATCCTCTGTGTCCCTCCACCGATCGCCGCACTGCGCGCTCCAGGAGCCGCGCATGCGTGGTTAGAATGGGAGGACGTCATCTGATGTCTTCCCAGAGCGAAAGAACCGCCTTGCGTCCGTCACATTACTATATGGCGGGTGGGAGGCGTTAAAGGTCCTGCACACAGGTTTCACACAGGATCACTGCACAGATCTGGAAGAAATACACAAAGTACACCAAGACTGAAGAAGAATACACGATGAATGGATTTAGGTAACATTTCCTATTCTGGAATCCAGCTTTAGGACCATAAGGTCTTTCTGAGCCCAGGTTCACACTGATGCGGTGTGGAATTCGTACCGGTTTCAGTGCGATTGCCGCACCGCATTATAATCACACCCCGTTCATACGAACCACCACATGTGTATATTTGAAGTTAACGACACCCCAAAATGAGTTCACAAAACGCGGTGCGATGTGCAGAATCGGATCGCATGGGTGTGAACTAAAAGGGCGGACTAAAAAGGGGTCCTGCACTTTTTTGGTGCAAATGCGTTGTGCCGCACACCGCACAGGAAATCGCATGTGATTTGTACAGGAATGCGGTGTGGTTCCTGTGCGAATCACATGTGATGTGCTGCACCGCATCAGTGTAAACCCGAGCTAAAAAGAGAATAAAAGAGGGTGCTCTCTCCTCGTGCATTACCGTGATAAATAGAAAATGTATTATAAAATCACAAATGTATACTCACAAACCAAAAAAGGTCATAAAAACAGAGACAAGGAGCCAAAGATGACAGTCGCGGACAGTGAAGGTCCTTGGGTGAAATGTGCTAACGCGTTTCAGGAGTCGAACTCCCTTCCTCAGAGCAACGCGTTAGAACATTTCACCCTCTGCTGTCCGCGACTGTCATCTTTGTCTCTGTTTGTATGACCTTTTTGGTTTGTGAGTTTTTATGACCTTTTTGGTTTGTGAGTTTTTATGACCTTTTTGGTTTGTGAGTTTTTATGACCTTTTCGGTTTGTGAGTTTTTATGACCTTTTTGGTTTGTGAGTTTTTATGACCTTTTCGGTTTGTGAATTTTTATGACCTTTTTGGTTTGTGAGTTTTTTATGACCTTTTTGGTTTGTGAGTTTTTATGACCTTTTTGGTTTGTGAGTTTTTATGACCTTTTTGGTTTGTGAGTTTTTATGACCTTTTTGGTTTGTGAGTTTTTATGACCTTTTCGGTTTCTGAGTTTTTATGACCTTTTCGGTTTGTGAGTTTTTATGAGCTTTTTGGTTTGTGAGTTTTTATGAGCTTTTTGGTTTGTGAGTTTTTATGAGCTTTTTGGTTTGTGAGTTTTTATGAGCTTTTTGGTTTGTGAATTTTTATGAGCTTTTTGGTTTGTTAGTTTTTATGAGCTTTTTGCTTTGTGAATTTTTATGACCTTTTCGGTTTCTGAGTTTTTATGACCTTTTTGGTTTGTGAATTTTTATGACCTTTTTGGTTTGTGAGTTTTTATGAGCTTTTTGGTTTGTGAGTTTTTATGAGCTTTTTGGTTTGTGAGTTTTTATGAGCTTTTTGGTTTGTGAATTTTGATGACCTTTTTGGTTTGTGAGTTTTTATGACCTTTTTGGTTTGTGAGTTTTTATGACCTTTTTGGTTTGTGAATTTTTATGACCTTTTTGGTTTGTGAGTTTTTATGACATTTTTGGTTTGAGAGTTTTTATGACCTTTTTGGTTTGTGAGAATTTTTATGACCTTTTTAGTTTGTGAGTTTTTATGACCTTTTTGGTTTGTGAATTTTTATGAGCTTTTCGGTTTGTGAATTTTTATGACCTTTTTGGTTTGTGAGTTTTTATGAGCTTTTTGGTTTGTGAATTTTTATGACCTTTTTGGTTTGTGAGTTTTTATGAGCTTTTTGGTTTGTGAGTTTTTATGACCTTTTTGGTTTGTGAATTTTTATGACCTTTTTGGTTTGTGAGTTTTTATGACATTTTTGGTTTGAGAGTTTTTATGACCTTTTTGGTTTGTGAATTTTTATGACCTTTTTAGTTTGTGAGTTTTTATGACCTTTTTGGTTTGTGAATTTTTATGAGCTTTTCGGTTTGTGAATTTTTATGACCTTTTTGGTTTGTGAGTTTTTATGAGCTTTTTGGTTTGTGAATTTTTATGACCTTTTTGGTTTGTGAGTTTTTATGAGCTTTTTGGTTTGTGTATTTTTATGATCTTTTTGGTTTGTGAGTTTTTATGAGCTTTTTGGTTTGTGTATTTTTATGACCTTTTTGGTTTGTGAATTTTTATGAGCTTTTTGGTTTGTGAGTTTTTATGACCTTTTTGGTTTGTGAGTTTTTATGACCTTTTCGGTTTGTAAATTTTTATGACCTTTTTGGTTTGTGAGTTTTTATGACCTTTTTGGTTTGTGAGTATACATTTGTAATTATATAATAAATTTCCTATTTATCACGGTAATGCACGAGGAGAGAGCGCCCTCTTTTATTCTCTTTGTTGTCAGCATTAAGACTCCCCGATCTATTGATCTATTAGCCACAAAGGATGTAAATCCACTTTATGAGCACCAAATGGCTTTACAAACCCAAATGTTACCTTGTTAAAGTAGCACTACTGTGCTGTACACAGACTGTGCAGAAAGCAGAGCTGTGGGAGGGGCCCAGCAGCTCCTCCCACTACAGGCTACAGAAATCTACAGGAGTGGGCGGAGACAAGACCAGTCACCCAGCACAAGGGAGAGAGAGCACCAGTCACCGGTCTTTATTAAAGGTCCTGCACACAGAGACAGGGAGCCGAAGATGACAGTCGTGGACAGCGGAGGTCTGTGGGTGAAATGTGTAACGCGTTTCGGAAGTCGAACTCCCTTCCTCAGAGCGCAGGAAAGGAGTTTGAAACGCGTTACCACATTTCACCCACGGACCTCCACTGTCCACGACTGTCATCTTTGTCTCTGTTTTTATGACCCTTTTTGGTTTGTGAGTAGGCATTTGTCCATCCATCAGACTGTCACCTACTCTCCTCTCCTTTAGGAGCACCCTGAAAACCCATCTCTTCAGGGAAGCCTACCCCGCCCTCTGCTAATTGCCGATCTCCTCCACTCTTCCTACCACTCCATCCCCCACAGCTATCTCCTCCTGTACAACTCTCCCCTCCCTCCTAGATTGTAAGCTCCAAGGAGCAGGGCCCTCGAACCCCTCATGTATCGCATTGTATTGTTACTGTACTGTCTCATGTATTGTCCCCCTTTGTAATGTACAGCGCTGAGCAAACTGTTGGCGCTTTATAAATACTGTGTAATAATAATAATAATTTGTGATTTTATAATAAATATCCTATTTATCACGGTAATGAACAAGGAGAGTGCGCCTTCTTTTATTCTCTTTTTTGCCATCATCAAGACTCCCCGATCTATTGAGGGCTGCACCTCAGCGAGTGTCTGATTCCGTGTTTTCTGTGTAGCGTGAAGATCTGAGCTCTGGTTTTGGTATATGTTGAACACGGGCTAAATCTAAGGCCCCATGTACACGGGACACTTCTGAACGATGGAAACTGACTGCTGGAAAACGTAGGTTAAAAAACATCTGTTTAGCTGCGTTTGCATAACGCGTTTATGCGCGTTTGCGTTTAGAAGCGTTTTTTAAAGATAAGTACAGGGGATCCTCCCAAATGCCCAGAATGCACTGAAAAGTGGTAAATTATTAACTATTTCAGAGAAATACAGAGAGTAGAAGCAGAGACAGCAGTGATTGTTGAGATTAGCTTAGGTGTGAGTTGCTCGTTAACATTTCTTTTGTTTCCAAGGGTGGAAAAGGTGTCTGGTGGAGGGAGTCATTAAGGCCACCTGGCAGGGGGTCTTGGTCATGAGGAATTGAGGTGTGAATGGTCATTAACATATCTTTTGTTTCCAAGGGTCTGGGAGAGGTCATTAACTGATCTGAGGGTGTGAATTGGTCATTGCAATGTGTGACAAGCTTGGTAGGAACATCCTGTGTTCAGTGTTTTGTCCATCTGAGTACCTTGAAAACGCTTTGCATGCATTTTTCATTATGAAAAAAGACTCTAGACAGCATCGGGAACTGAAAGAGTTAAACAAAAATTTTCAAACGCAATTTGCCGTGTTTAGCAGCGTTTAGCCACGTTTACACGCGTTTTGCGTTTGAAACGCTGATAAAATCGACTGCTGAACGTAAGTTTTCTGCGTAAAAAAAAAAAGGACTGTAAACTCAAATGCTTGTAAATGAAGATGTGTACACGGACACATAGGAAAACATTAGGGAGGGTTCAGGGGCTGCAAAAAAAAAAAAAAACGCTGAACAGCTCCTAAAGGTGAGTTTATCAGCTGCAGTGTACATGAGCCCTAACCGCCAATGACATCAGACATACAAGTAACAACACCACAAAGGCAAGTTATTCAACCACAGAAGACTTTAGACCTGGAAAAGCCAATTCTTTCATGAATTACTAAGGCGGGACAAGAATATTTTTGGTTCTCTTTAAACTTTTGTTTTCTCTCCCTCTTTATATATGAAGTTATTTCTCGGAAATGGACCTTAAAAAAAAATGCTTGCTCCCTATAAACTAATGGCTGCTGACACCTTCATAGTAGTCCCCTTGTAAAGTGATGCACCTTTCTAGATGACTGTACCACTGCTGGAAACATTCCTGAAATTGGTTTTCCAGAAAAATGCGCTGCGATGTCCGGAAAGGCCATCAAATCTGCGTCCTTTTAAGGCATTTTTTAACTTTGCTGAAAGTCGCAGGGTGCTAAATCAGGGGAATAGG